GGGCCAGGCTGTCTGAGTGGGATGGACTGGTATCTTCAGGACCCGGCTGCACCCTTGCCTGCAGCAGCTCCATGTAACCAGGTGTCTGCGATTCGGAGATTCAAAACCTGGTCCTTGACCTCCAGAACTTCAGGATGGCGGGAGAGGGACGAGAAACAAGTGAATGCCATACAGGGTGAAGTCAGCGCATGTGGACCTGTGTTGTAGTGTATGGGGGAGTGCAAGTAGGAAATTGTCCCGGGGTAGTGGGAGGGGAGGGAATGTAGAGGAGGCCTTTAACTGGGCCTTGGAGGATGGATAAGAGTTGGATAAGAGGGAGTAAAGATTTTTCCAGGGGAAGGGAAAGTCATTATTAAGAACTTGGACAAGCAAAATAACACGTCTCAAGAGTCGTGAGCAACTGAATATCCCGAGTTTGGAGGCAGCAAACGAGACTGGAAAAGTAGTCGGGCTGGGTTTTGAAGGGCTTTTTTGCTTTGTTTTGTTGGATTTAGTGCTCTGAACTAGATGGGCTTTTTAGAGACACTTCGCCAGGGGAGTAGCAGGAGGTTTTGAGAGTTGGTGCTTGACGCTGAGTGTCTTTGTACTCAGCTGTGTAACAGACACTTTGAACACCTTCTAGGTGCGGGTAGTTTGCAGGAGTCAGCAAGACAAAGACCTTGCCTTTGGGGAACTTGCATTTTTGCCAAAGAAAGATAAGATAGGCAGTGAGCAGGGAAGTGACGAAATAGGTGACCTGGCAGGTGTGTGTGCTGTCTGTGAGGCGCTGCTGCTCTGGTCCTGGGTGACCTTCAGTTCCTTCCATGATTCGTGGTCGAGAGGGAAGTTCTGTTTCTGTTGGTGCTGGGCGGTGGCATTTTTTGGAAAGTCTGGGACGATGGTGGCGATGCTGTCAGGGTTACTGTGGTTAGTTCAGTTCACCTTGCTCCCCGCCCTTGGGGGCTTAGCCCTGAAATGAATATGGTTCTGGTGATGCCACACGTGGCAAAGAAAGTGCTTTCACTTTAAGATTCCAAAAACCGAGAGAGTGGAAAGATGAATTTAAGGAACTTAGAGTTCCTGGGTCTCAGTGACTGTGCCGGTGGCATTTGAGAGAGCAGATACATTCCTGAAGGAGCACGTTTCTCTTGCTAAGCTGGAATAGGGCTTTGGTGGGCCTTTTGCAACGCTGGCGTTGTATGGCACATCCGCAGACAACTGGAGGAATCAACAATCCCTTTCTTTGATTTTTTCCTGCTCTTCTGTTCATCAAAATCAATGTAGCATAATGGAAGATGAATGATTAGATTATATCCAGCACGAATGGTTGATGTTAGTACTGGAAAAATACTAATTCTAAAACTTAATCTTGACTATCTAGACATAATCACAGGACAGTGTTAAAATTAGGTCCAGGTGTGCAATTCAACTTCAGGATTTTTAAGCTCACTTGAAACAATGACTTTTGTACTTTAGGACAGGTAACTGCAGTTGCCACGGGACACCTGTACAGGTGTGCCTCCGTGGGCGTCCTGTCACCTTTCCACGTGTCCCTTGGCCAAGCCCGCCTTAGGTGCCCACGCCGGCTTTCTGACTGTCTCTTGCCCGCAGAACAGGACCGCCTCCTCCCTTCTTCACGCTCCTCTGCTAGATGCGAGCTCAGGCCTGTCCCTCCCCGTCTCCGCATGGCTGGCAGCATCTGATCTCAGTCTAACCTTCCCTTCTCCTGGGAGGCTCCCCACCCCTAAGTGTGCAGTGGGGGCTTTGGCCGTGGCCACAGCACTGCATTTCTCGCCTGGTAGCCTTACCCCACTGGGGCGCTTGTGCTGGTTTCCTTCCTTGTCTGCACCTACCACATCGCTGGCTTTTAGTAAAGATTTGTGTGGTGAATGCATGATGGCATCATTCTGAGATGTTTCCTGAGCAGTTGAAGCTCAGTTTAAAATTCTTCCTGTGGTAAGAATTTGCCTTTTGGGATTATGGATTTTAGGTTATCTGATTTCGTTTCCAGTAAGTTTTGACGAGTTTAATTTGGAAATGACTCATATTTTCCAGTTCTGAAAGCTGGGGGTAGGTGACTTAAGATTTTTTTTAAATGTATTTTCAGCCACTTAATTTTTATATAGATGAGATGAAATATTTTTATGTCATAGTGGTTATGGTAGACTTAAATACATTAAAAAGTTGTGGATAAGCCATTATTTCAAGATTTTTTAGTAGTTTACCAATATCTTGTATACATTATTGAAGACAATTTCATAGTCCTTTTATTTTAAGGAAATTTTGTGATGAGGTTCTGTATAATCCAAGAAGGGTCAATTTTTAAAAAAGTGTAGCTTTTGGGGGGATACACTTTGGGGTTACATGTTGGGATTGGGGTTTGTGAAAGCAAAGGCTTCAGAGAATATTTGTGCTTTTAGCCTAAGCTGCTGCACAGTGAGTGCTTTATTCCTGGGTCACCCTTTCATCTGCTTGAGTTGACTGTGTTTGTCAGACCTGGTCAGTATTTCTGCAGGGCCAGTGTTGTCTCAGAGTAAAATGACCTTTTCAAGTCAGCTCCTGGGTGGCAACTGTGTTTTAGGATGTGATTGGTGGGAATTTGGGTAGGAGCAGGTGGGGAGCGTGAGAACCTCTGAACAAAGCAATTTTACTTTGTATAACTGACCAGTGGGGGATTAAAGCACTTTTTAATGTGGTTTTTAGGAAATTGTGTGCACACACGTGTAATCAGTTGATTAGGAACAGTCGTTACTTAATGCCTGTGCCAAAGCTTATATGTTTGGTGGATAGTGCATTCTCTAACGAGGCTTACAAATAATGAGCCCTTATATTTTGTGTGAATGGCTTGATTTATACTTTTTTATTCTAGAGTTACAAGGAAAGGAGCTTGAAAGAGAAAAAGTGGTCACAAGTTAGGGTAAATTAAGAAACTTGTTTTGAAATGGAAGAGCAAAGCCTCAAGTATGGAAATAGCTGAGATTTTAGCTAAATTGTATGCTGTGTTGGGTGTGTGTGTGCGTGTGTGTGTGTGTGTGTGTGTGTGTGTGTGTGTGTGTGTGTGTGTATGTATTTTGCATTCCCTAAGAGACTTTTATTTGGCAGAGGAGCTAGACAAAGCCTTTAAAAGTTACAGAAAGTCCACTGTTTTGAGTCCCCTGAGTAGTCTTAGTACTGACCCCGGCTTTGATGCTATAGAGAGGATGATAGTCGTTTCTCTACAATGAGCCGCTTATAATGTTAACACGGATGAAAATAGCATAAACATGTACATTCCAGCAGACTTGTGAGTTCTGGTTGGCCTGTGTTAGGCTAATACAGATGCAGGAAGAAAGATACAGTTGATTCTTTTTTTTTTTTTTTGAGTTGGAGTCTCACTCTGTCACCCAGACTGGAGTGCAGTGGCCGCTCCCGGCCACCGCAGCGTCGACCTGCTGGGCTCTGGCGATCCTTCCGCCTCAGCCTTCCGAGTAGCCGGAATTACAGGCATACGCTACCACACCCGGCTGATTTTTTGATTTATTGTAGAGATGAGGTCTCGCTGCCCAGGCAAGTCTCGAACCCGCGGGCTCAGGCAATACACTCACCTCAGCCTCCCAAAGGCGCGGAATTACATGCTGAGCCACCAAGCCCAGCGATACAGTTGATTCTTAAACAAACATGGGTTGGGGTGCTAACCCCTTGCACAGTTGAAAATCTGTGTGTAACTTTTGATGCCCTTAACTACTGATAGCCTGCTGTTGACTGGAAGCCTCACCAATAGCACAGTGAACATATATTCTGTATGTTATATGTATTACATACTGTATTCTTACAATAAAGCAAGCAAGAGGAAAGAGAACGTTATTAAGGAATCATAAAAGAAAATGTATTTCCTATTCATTAAGTGGAGGTGGATCATAAAGGTCTTCCTCCTCATTGTCTTCACACAGAGCAGGCTGACAAGGAGGGGAGGAAGGAGGTGGTCTTGCTGTCCCAGGGGTGGCTGAGGAGGAAGAAAATTCGTGAATGGACCTGCATGGCGCAAGCCCGCGATGTTCACAGTCAGCCTTGCTTATTCCTGACATCGTGCTCCCTTTTTGTTAAAATACTACCCACCAGTGTGTCCAGTTATGGGCCAGTTTATTTAGATGTTCATTCCATTGGTCTTATCGTGAAGATTACCCTAAGTGAAAGATGTGTGTATGGACATTTACTTTGGCTTTTAAAAATCTATGAATAAGAACTATGATGAACTGAATCCTCTGGTCTTTCTGTCAGTCTCTCCCAAGATGTCTAATTTCACTTTATAATGGTGGAAAGATCATGCATTGTAATTAGAAGGGTGATAGCAGTCATATATTAAATTAAGTTTATCGTGTCACAGAGAAAATAACCCATGTTAACCATATTGGGCCAACTTATTTGTTGCTTTCATGAGCACTCCAACTTTGAACTTAAAATCCTAAGTGCACAGCTAGAAAATTTTTTGCTTATTAAAAAAAAATCAGAATTCTAAAATTATCTAAGTGTTTTTTTTAATGAGGTCATAAGGAGGTGGTATTTTTAAGAGGCAATCTTTACATTTAAAATTTGCATTCTCCAGAAATTTTAATCTTTAATAATTATAGATCTTAGCTACAAATAATTATCAGATGGGGTCAGTCCTTAGTTGCCATTCTTAAATTCAAATAAATGTAGATACAGGAAGCCATCCATCCATTTGTTTGACATACACAAACTGGGGGCAACCGGCAAGGAAGTCTTTGTAAGTAGAATCCAGTTCTTTGTTTATCAAGTTATGTTCTCGTACTGCTCTTTTAATTGATGTTAAGTAATTTCAATAATTTTAGTAAAATAAACACATTGACGTTTGCTCTAATGTCATAGCGGAAAAGTTAATATGATGAAATTTAAGAAAGTATTCTTTATTTAGTTCATTAGAGATGCCAGGATAAAATTAAGGGTTATGGTTTTAAAATCTTATGGGGGGGAAGTGCAGTTGTTCAGTTCGGAAGCTATTTAAATCTACTTGAAATTTCTTTCAGAGTCTTGGAAATTCACAGAGAGAATATGAAAAGCAGGTTGTCCTGTATAGTATCCGCAACCAGTTACGATATAGAAATAATTTAGGTAAGTAGAGACATTTTTACATTGGGGTGGAAGTGACTGTTGACACGTTATCATTTCCATACATTTACCCTGTCTTCTCAATACATATTTCATAGTACTGACATTATTCCATGTATAGATTTTAACCCTTTGCACTTGGCGACATCGCAGGTCACCTATCAGCAACTCGACTGCATTTTTTAAATAAAATAGTGAAAAACGAATCACTTCATATTAAATAGTATGGTGTTGGGACCAATATTATATTGTAATGATATTTGGCTTATAATAAAATTCTGGATAATGAGGAACCTATTTATGACTAAAAGAATCAAAATTTTCTATCTTAAATTTTTCTAATGTGTGGTAGTGTGTGAAACAGTCACTGACATGTATTGCAGGTTCATTGGTACATGCTGTATAATAGTAATTTGCTTGATGTCTTCCACCTGATGTTTTTCTGTTCAAGAAGACAAGCAGTATTGTTTTCTTCCTCCCATATTAATGATATATAATTTATTGTCCAGTCTGTTGTTTGAAGGTGATGTGAAAGATGCATTCATGATTCCTGAAAACCACTTCTCAACTAATTGATCAGAAACTTGACACATTTCAAGTGGGACATAGGTTTTAAGTTGGTTTTGAGGGGAAAACTGCAAGGAAACGTATTTTCGAAAAATGTGCACTTGCGTCAGTTTGTCCTGTATAATCACTAGCTATCCCTTTATGTCCCCTGAGAGGGGACATCTGAGTGGTTTGCTAGATTTACGATGTCCCTTCAGAGGGGACATCCAAATGCAAAGGGTTAAGACACTCTGTTCTGACCCATCCTACCTAAGAATTTGTATTAGCAGGTAGATTTTTCTTTCTAATTCTGATAAAAATTATTTTTTAGAGTATTGTTTGACCTATGAAACATTAATCTAAGTTTAAATGCCTTGTTGCCTGAGGTGAGAAAATATGCCAGAAAAGAAAAAACGTGTTGTTTTTTAATAATTTCCAACTTTGAGTTTTATTTAGGCTACATAAACTTTCCAAGTAATGATAATTGGAACAAATTTTTGACATAGTTTCATGATTTATTTTTCACCTTTTCAAAATAATATTTGCTTTTATTTGCCTGATGACTCTATTCATCCATGCTACTGCTCTGCTAGACTTCCTCTCCTGCTTGTTACTCTTATTTTATGCATAATATTTCAGAGATAGTTTTTCTCAGACCATTTTCCATGACAGTCAAGTCTTTCTACATTTAAAAACACAAAACCAGCAAATAGAAAAAAAGAAGCTTGACTTCATTGAAGCCTAACATTCAGTTTGTCTGTCTTGTCAAGTAATATAATAAGGGATTTCCTGAGCGATAGCCTTTGTTTCCTTTTTGGGGGCATGCTGGTGCTTGCAGCTTGTTTTCTCATTACTCTCTGCTCACCTGTCCTGTTACACATTTTACTTACATGCTCTGAAGTCTGTTTCTTAAGGCATAATCGTTTCTTTGTTCCACCTTGGTATAGTTTATTTGCTCTCTTCTAGCTCACACTTTCCTTTTGGATTACTGTGGGCTTGACGAGTATGTCTGATTGCATTTGTTGCGAATATGCAGCTATAGGAAATCTGAGGAAAACGGGACCGTTTCCCTCTTTCCCACAGTTAAACATGTCAAGAAAGATGAGCGTAAATACTATGAGGAGCTCCTGAAATACAGCCGCGACCATCTGCTGCTGTACCCCTACCACCTGTCGGACATCATGGTGAAGGGCCTGAGGGTAACGCCCTTCTCCTACTACACCGGGATCATGGAGGTGAGTTGGCAGGTGGGTGGGCCCAGCACCTGGCTGGGGGGGGCTGCGTGGCACGGCACTTGGCGGGCGGTGGCCCGCGCTTCAGCTCCCTGTCCCTGTGGACATTGTTTCTGAGCTTGTCGCATAAAAGGACTGCTGCTGACACGTTGGCTGTTGAGCCACACTTGTACAAGTCATCATTGTTGATGTTTTCACACTGGAGGGGTGTCTGCCTCTCATCTGTGTTCCTTCTGCCCTTGTAGCATTAATCAGTCGTTTATGTTGCAGAGTCTGTATACAGTGGATTGCTTTTACGTGAAAGTGTAGGTGACGGACTTGAGCATTACGCTCAGAGAAACCCTTAATGTGTTTAGCTATTCACGAACTGTATAAAGAATAAATGACGTAGACCTGACAATATTTAATACAGGTGTCAGAACAGAGGTACTAGTAGTCCTGGCTTTTTCTGGAATTGTTAACTTAGTTGTTAGCCTTTTTCCAAGGCAGCTTTGGGGCTTGTGCTGAAGAGCTTTGATAGCAGTCAGACACTTTGAGTGGGAGCTTTGTGTACAGGTGGGCAGGGCTCGCTGGTGCTTGTTTGCTTCTTCCTTGTTTGAGTGCTGTTGCTTTGGGCTTACTGGCCACTTGCAGAGCACAGAGAAGCCCTGAACAGAAGGCGCTGGGCCCCCGTAGTGATGGTGTGGCAGCTCCTCTTCAGTGCTGTTCTTAATCTCAGCTGCCTTTGCTTGCCCCTGGAGCCCCTTCTCCACGGCACTTCGGGAGCCATGTTCCCTCGTTTGGAGGAGACCCCAGAGGAAAGCTCGAGGCTGGTGGCCCGGGTGGTGTGATGAAGAACCGGGTCATGCTGCAGGTGGTGGCTCCTCAGGGTGCGGGGGGCTGTTGCTGTCCCTTGGGTGGTTTTCCTAGTGTGGTCCGCGAGGTTTGGGGGTGGAAATAGGTGGAGGTTTTGTCCCGTCTACCAGCTTTCCTTTCATTAGATCGTATGCCTGCTGCTTTCTGGTTTCTGTTCTTGTGTCATTGGCTCTGGCTCCTGGGTTGAAGGTAGGTCTTTTCACACAGTAAATAGTTGGCTTGTTGATTATTGAGAAACAGATTGGGGTGGGAAATAATGAGTTCAGCCCTACTAGCATTTGGGTCCCATAGGAGCAAAGACTAGTAAGGGGTTACAATCTTCGCTGGTAGAGTACGTTTGCGATGCAGGTTGATGGAGTGTGACCTTTTCTCCGGGTAGGAATCTGGGGTGGGGTATGAAATGTGGAGAGACTGGAATTGTGAACTTTCTGGAGGCATTCCTGGCATGGCTTCCACGGGACTGGCTGGGATTCAGAGAGTATCATAAGAAACCCAGACCTCAATGACTACCCTTCAGTTACTAGGCTGGGACCGTGTGGTAGGTGCCACAAGGTGGCTTGTGTTCTGTGGATTGTCAAACTGTGATCTCACTGCTTCCTGAAATGATTATTGTGATTCTGATTGACTATAGTAGTATTATATTTATATGTATGTTTCTAAGTAAATCTTGTGTTTCAAGTTTTACATTTTTTTCTTTTTGAAAGGACATTATGAACAGTGAGAAAAGTTATGATTCATTGCCCAATTTTACTGCTGCTGACTGTAAGTATTTAATTATGCGGAAGGAGGTAATGTTTAGGTTGTATCTTTATACATGTGTAGTCTTGTGTCTTTATTATGACGTGTGTCTTTAACCTGAAATATGTGAAAAATGAGAACAACAAGCAACATTATTAGTGGGAATTTTATCAGATTGTACAAGTCAAGTGTAAGGTTTAGTCTAAATGTCTAAGAGGAATAGCTTAGAGTGGTAGAATCAGAAAAATAGGACTAGTCTGTATATTTCTAGAGAATGAAGTTCATGATACTTGGGCTGTGTGTGTACCAAATGAAGTAAGAAAACTTGTGCACAGTATTTGCAGTATGATACATGGTTTTTACCAACATATTTTGCCGGTTCTTGTTATTGCTTATTTTGTTGAAGTGTATATTTTGAAATATGACATAGTTCTGCTGTATGATAAGCTTTTGCTGAGAAGTACATTTTGACTTCCTGAAATTGGGAGGACTTCTGCTTTTTAAAAATGTTCTTATTTGTCAGAAATGTTAGGTTGAACTAATTTCTCCCAAACTTTAGTTTTCTTTTATATTTTGTTGGAAGAATTTCTTTTAATTTGATATTGACAGACCATGTTGGTCAATAATCAAAAGATGAATACAAGCTGAGGATTTTCCCTGAAATCATGTGTGAGTGTACTGACATTTCAACATGTATTAAGTGTTTTTAAAAGAAAGACTTTTTCTTTTAGGTCTAAGGCTTCTTGGCATAGGAAGAAACCAGTATATTGATCTCATGAATCAATGTAGGTCATCAAAAGTAAGTTAGTCATTTTTCTTTCTCATTGTCTTGGCTTCCTTATCACAGTTTGATTAGTGTTTTTAAGTGATAGAAATAATGAATTGTATTTCCCTGACCAAATAAAATATACTTAACACAGAAACAATGCAGAAAGAATGCCTCCAGTGTTCTCTATTGTAACTTAAGTGATTATTGAATTAAAAATATTTAACGGACAACCCCTTTGGGTCCTCTCCCACTGTGGGAACTTTCCTGTCCTCAACAAATCCTGCTTTCCAAAAAAAAAAATTAACTCATAACAAATTTAAAAATTACTTTTGATCTGTTGGTCTTTTTACTTGCTGCTTCTACTTCTGAGGTTCACTTAATGGGTGAACCTTTTTTCAAATGCATTTTTGACCTCCTAGGTTTCATTTGAGTTTCTGGAGTTCGAACCAGATTTAATGATTAGTGTTTTGAATAATTTGTTTTGAAACAATTTAAGAATGACTGTCTCCATTCATCATATCTAGAATTGTTAAGATGGTTGAGAGTTTAAAGAAATATTTATTTAGCCCGTTAGAAACAATCTTATTGTATGATTGATAAAAGAAGAAAATGATAACTTTTGGTTGACTGCACATTCTCGAATGTTTGTATCATTGTAGAAGTTTTTCAGAAGGAAAACAGCCCGTGATCTTCTGCCAGTGAAGCCAGTGGAAATTGCCATTGAGGCCTGGTGGGTGGTGCAGGCTGGCTATATCACTGAGGATGACATCAAGGTAGAGGAGGACTTTGCAAGTTAAACATAGGAATTTTATTTTTAAACTCATTTTATAATTTTAATTATAGTTCTGTACTTTTTTTTAAAGCAACACTATTTAGTTTTTTTGAAGAATTAAAATTCGAAATTTAAAACGATCTTACTAGGCTAGAGTATTGTGAGTTTCCAGGATACACTTTAATGGTGAGGGAGACATGACTTGGTTCAAGTATAATATAATTATCTGGGCTGTTAATTAGTTAGACGTTTCTTGTAAAGTAATGTATGATGCCACCTTGGCTACCAACCACAGTACTATTGGCTGACGCTTGTGAATATCTGCTGTGTGCTAGTTGTGCCTGAAACTATCGCAGGCGCCTTTCACATCGTCTCATTTAACACTCGTGACAACCCCAGCAATGCGTTATTTGTGCCCCCATTTCACAGATGAGGGGAGTGAGCACAGCAGGTTAAGGGATGGCTCAGGTCACAGAAGTGTAGAGTCCTCTCACAGGCAGCTTGTTGTGGGACCTGCACTCTCAGTTACCGTGTGGAACTGCTGTGCTAAAGTGACAGGTGCTCGGATGGGCGCGGCAGTGTCAAGGTCAAGGGGATTGATGTTCCCAGTGGGCAGATCACATTTTAGAAGGGATGTTGGTTAGAGGAAGGGGGTGGCGTGAGGGGTTAGCGACCAGCTCCCATTCATGTATGAGTGAAGGTGTGGGAGTACATGGGCTTTTTTAACTCTGCCTTTAAATTTTCATTAAACTCATGAGTGACAGGCTTGGAAATTTTACTTCGGCATAAGTACCTCCTGCCAGCGCTGTCAGGTTGGATCATAATCAGCTTGTGAGCCTTCCTGTCTCTGATAGTACTAATGTGGAGTTTGAGTAAACTTCTGATTTGGAGATTCAGAATCGGCAAATGGATCTAATTCCAATTGAAAGACAAGGAGGAGATATTGCTGTTTGTTAGTGAACACGTATTACTAACCAGCAAACATTGGGACTTATAGTAAAGTAACTTTGTTTTCTAAGTTCTAAGTTGGTTCTAAGTATTTGGGCATCTTAATTAATGGTTATGTGTGTAGTTATTTGTTTGAATTCTGAAGTGATAATTGAAAAGATACATAGTTCAAAGACATGTAATCACTGGTTTCAACATGAATACATTTCAGTAGACTTATGAATTAGTTAATTCAGACAGAACTTAACTGAAAATATTTTGCTTTTCTTAGATATGCACTTTACCTGAGAAATGTGCTATTGATAAGATCATCGATTCAGGCCCTCAACTCTCTGGATCACTAGATTATCATGTAGTACATAGTAAGTGGTTAGTAGAATGGTCTTTTGTCAACATAAAGGCTTGTTTTAAACCATCAATAATTAATAGTGGTTCCATATCAAGTATGTACAAATGGTGCTTTTCTTAAGGCATGTTATTGTTTGAAATGTGACTTTGGTCTGTTGTTTTCCAGTGTGGCTATAATTAGTCACATACAGTAGAAATTTATACAGATGAATGGTAGACAAATTTTGTAGTTCTGAGCATATGTAGGAAACTGAGATTTTTAAAGTTTGATATTCCTTTTCTATTTTACTTTTTTCTTCTTCACATAGCTTAAGAATTATAAGACTCTTTACACAAAGCCAGGAATCAGTTTTTTAAAAAGTTGCTTTTGTGTAGTGTACCACCTAAAACAGGGTTCTTCTGCTTCTGTAGGTTTATATAACAAAGGATTTATTTATCTGGATGTACCAATATCTGATGACAGTTGTATAGCAGGTAAGACTGTGCTAACCTTTTTCAGTGTGTTTTATGCATATCACGCATCCTGGTATCTTAGATGTCAGGATTTTTCAAAGACAGTCACTTCTTCATTACATTAAGGTGATTTAACTAAAATTCCTTACTTTTATTTTTATGTTATTTCAGTGTACATACTGTATTTAAATAGTAGAAATCCAGGATACATTTCTCACAATCCAGACTCAAACCAGTATTTTTATAAACCCGTGCCACCTTTTACTCCTTGTTCAGTACATAGCAATTTTTGCCTGTTTTCAGGAATATCATAGAATTGTGTGTTCTCACTGTCACTTGACATACCTGTGTAGCATTTTTTCATGTTACCACTGTCTTCCTGTCTTTATTTTCTCTTTCCTTCCTCCTTCACTCACTTCTCTGAGTTAACCAACATTAAGAACCTTGTGTGTGTCCTTCTGTGCCTTGTGGATGTGTCCATTTATTAAACCATTCTGTATTGCTGGTTATTTAGATATCTTCCAGGTTTTGGCCACTACAGTACTAATAGGGTTGACATCCTTGAACCAGAGTGGTACTTTTTTTCTGTAGGTTAGTTTCTTACCAACTTACAGAAGCACTTATATTCAGATTATGTGTTTTGTAATTTGTTTTCGCTATTGTTCTTTGTGATACCTTTTATCATATGTGGATAGGAATATTTGTGTAATCAAATATAAAGTATCAAACACTTTCAGGGAATGACCTTATAGTATTGAACTGATTACAGGCATACTCTCCTGTATCAGTGTTGATACCTGACAGCTGTCATGCTCGAGTGTGTCCTCACCTTTGGGTGAGAGTGTGTTCGTGATTCTTTAAGAAGGTTTTTTATTTTTATTATTAGTATTTTTAGTTGATTTTTATTTATTTTTTTCTTTTAATTTTTTTTTTATTTTAAAGATGTGGGGTACAACTCAGGGTTAGGTATACAAATGTTCATTATGAAGGTACCCTTGTTAATGAGGTGTGCACCCCCTTTCCCCAGGCAGATTCCCACTCTGCCAATCCCATTTCCCCCCCCCCCCCGGTAGTTTCTCATTACTACCAATCATTCTCTTACAGTATTACGCTAATTGTTCAAGGTCTGCTTATGAGTGAGAACATGTGATACTCAGTTCTTTGTTTCTGTGAAAGATCACTCAGTATTATAGACTCTAAGTCCATCCAGGTTGCTGTGAAGTTCGTGATTTTGTTCTTCTCTATGGCTGCGTAATATTCCATCATGTATATGTACTACATTTTTTTTTAAATTCAATCCTCTTTTGATGGGCTTTTTAAACTGGAGCATACATGAATTCTATTTTAAGCTTGGAAAGACGCTTAAATAGTAAATGAAATACTGGCTCGGGGTTGTGTAGCTGATGCTGTAACAAATAAAATACAACCTTGAAAATTAGAAAGGCTTTGGCAAGGAAATGATGTTTGGAAGACAGAGGTGGTGGTGGTATCCTGTCGCAGCTGGAAAAATGAAAGCATTACTCCAGTCCCTACTCTGATCCCATAAACTGATGTTGACTCATGTGAGTTCTACCTAAAAAGGCTGGTTTCTGACTAGTTTATTTCGGTCCATTCTGACAGACGGTTTGAATGCGGACTCACATTGGCCCTCAGTTCCTTTGAAAGAAGCAGTCGGGGCTGGATGGATGGCTGCTCCGTTGCAGTGATGTGCTCGGCCACCCTTCAGTGGCACTTGAGTAGCTGGCGTGGGTGGTACAGACAGACCTGTGGGGTGATGGTTGTTGAATTCACCCTGCTTGTCACCATGTTACCTGTCTGGCTGTTCCCTACATTCAAATAAACTCACAAAAGGAAAGCAGTTTGACAACATGGAATCCATCAGATTCAGTGCACCCCATATCTGAAGGTGATTTCAAAGGGGGCATTTCAGATACATTTTAACAAAGAAACAAGCACTCTGGGTGGTGGAACAGGTATATAGAGAGGAGAGAAATACTTTGAAGGGAATAATTATGAATGACTCAGTTGTTGAATAAAATATATTTATTTCATCATTCATAAAACTTTCTTTTTTTGGGGGGGAGGTTGGGTCAGAGTCTCACTCTGTTGCCCAGGCTAGAGTGCAGTGGCTCAGGTGATCCTTCTGCGTCAGCCTTCCAAGTAGCTGGAACCACAAGCGTGTGCCACTGCACCCGACTAATTTTTGATTTATGGTAGAAATGAGGTCTTACCAAATTGCCCAGGCTGGTCTTGAACCCATAGATTTGGGTAGTCCTCTTGCCTCAGCCTCCCAAAGTATTGGTATTACGGTCATGAGCCACCATGCCCGGCCTGTCAAACTTTCTAATTGCACATTTTGTGTCTATCTTTTATAGCTTCCTGTTTCTGTTATGTTCGAATAGAATACCTCCAGGATATGTAAATAGCCTGAAAATTCTTTAAAACTTTTGTTATATGTACTTAAATACACAGTTTGTTTGGAACTTATTTTTGTATTTGATGTGAAATAGGGTTTAACTTGTTTTTCTTCTGCTTGAATAGCCAGTAGTGTTTGGATGAATGCTAGCACTGTTTTTCCGATGACTCATTTCTGCTGAATGGAAGCATCACTTTTGTCATACACTCAGTTCCCCTGTATGTTGGGTCTAAGTCTTTTCTCTTCCACTGATACCATATTATTTTGATTTCGGTAACTTTTAATTTTATTTATGACCAGGCTTTCTTTGTGAGTGTTCTTAAATAACTTTCTTGGCTATTCCAAGATGCATATATATATTTTAATTGACAGATCATAGTTGTATACATTTGTGGGGATGATGTGATGTTTTGACATGTATATACAATGTGACATGATTAAGTCAAGGTCTTTGTCAACTCCATCATCTCACTTACAACTGAAATTTACTAATCACTTTGAAATGTAGACTATATTATTATTGACTGTGGTCACCCTGGTGTGCAACACATCTCAAAACTTTTTACTCCTATCTGTCTGAAATGTTGTACCCTTTGACTAGCAGCCCCCCACACCCCTGTCTGTCTGAACCTTTGTGCCCTTTGAGTAACAATTCCCCATTCTCCTGGCTTCTGGTGGTCATCGCCCACTCCTGTGAGGCAACTTTATTATGTTCCACATGCAAGTGGGCCCGTGCAGTGTTTGTCTTTCTGTGCCCACTTTATTTCACTTGGCGTAATGTCCTCCAGGATCGTTCACTTGCAGCCGACAGGCTCTCTCCTTTTTTGTGGCTAGATAAGATTCCATTGTGTGTATATACCACGTTCCTTTATCCTCTCGTCTGTTGAGGACACTGGGGCTGTTTCCATTTCTCGGCTCTTCTGAATCGTACCACAGTGAGCATGGGCGTGCAGGTGTCCCCTCCACACACTGGCTTCAGTTCCTGTGGGTATAGACCCGCAAGACCCGGAGGGTCCTGGGGCACATGGGAGTTCTATTTTTAGTTTCTTTTAGGAAGCTTCATACTATTTTTTACAATTAAAAAAAAAGTTATTAGCGGTTTTGAGTAGTCACTAATTACAAAATTGGAAACTTATAAACGACTGTAAAACATCTGCCTCCAACCCAGTTTCTCCCTCAGCAGCCACTTGCGTTTCTTGTGTATCTTTCTAGAAGTATTCCTATGCACATTGGCATATCTGTGTGTTGACATATATTCTTTTTATGTGGTTTTATTTTTACCCTGATGGTGGACTCTAGTTCAGACTGTTTATTAAACTTAATATATGTTATAGAGATTATTCCAAATTTCTTCATGTAGAGTTGTGTCATTCTTTTTGCCTAGACATAAATTATGGCTTAGGAAAATTTCTAACTCTTCGTACCTTGGGTTTCTTTAATCTCTAAAATAGGGATAATTATACTGCCTGCCAACTCATGGGGTTAAGAGGATTAAATGAAATTGTCTATATGAAGTATTTGGCAATAGCCTAGCACTTAATGAGCATTCAGTGAATGTTTGCTATTATGGTTACATAGCTGGTAGCGTAGGGAAAGAATCAGTGATGTCAAGTGTGGGATTACTGAAAAGAAACGTGAGTATTAAAAGTAGCTGGATGACTGGAAATGAGGTGATATTAAATTAGAAAATGACTTGAGCCAGATCTGTAAATTGAATAACCTATCCTGAAATGTACATTGTGGTTTCTCAGTATCTTAATTTTGACCATTTTGTCTTGTTTTTTACTGTGTTAGGGATAACTTAGGTTTAGGGCGCGTGGTGTTTGGACCAGAGGAATGCCATGGCCTGGACATTTCCTCCTTCCTAGGACGCTTTCGGGGGAAAGTTCGCACAGGGAGAATGGCAGGGGAGGCGTAGCACCTCTGTGCTGACAGCTGGGCAAGGCCTCAGGACGGGCGAGGTGGAGAGGTGGAGAGGTGGGAATGAGCGTGGATGAACATTCAGGGGTGGTGACAGTGGGGCTGAAGAGGATTGTGGCCCTCTTGGAGTGAGGCCCACTGAGGAGGATGCAGAACGGAAAGCCCCAAGGAGCCAGTTAACCGTGACTGCTGGCAAAGGGCCATCGTGCCGATGAGTGTCCCTCTTCCAGGGTGGAGTGGGGGCCGGAGACGTAGAGCCAGGCCTTTGGTTCCCTGCTGTGTCTGTGGCGGAGCAGCTCTTTCTGGCAGTACTTGCTTTCCTGCTCTTCTTTCCCCCCACCCCCCGCTCCCCACCGTGGCCCACCTTGTGAGCCATCCGAGCACACCTGGAACCCTGGCCAGCTCCCCATTCCGCAACAGCCCTGTTCCTGCCCTCTGCCAAGAGGCTCTCTGAGCCTCCCTAGCTCTGAGAGTTCCGGGCAGATTAAATGACTCTCCGTGGATTGTGTGGTCTGCCCTCACTTCCCCTCTGTAGGTATCATTTGTTGTGTGTGGCCTTAACTTTGGAGGTTTTAGGAAATGTCTGTGAAGTGACTGGAATGAACCAAAACTGCATTTAGTCCCCAAGTTTGAGGTTTCTCTCTTTGTTTAGGTAACTACATTTATACTTTCCTGTTTCATAAAGTCTTATCACTGAGGAAAGCCTGTCTTGTTTCTTTTAGTTCCCCCTCTTGAAGGCTTTGTAATGAATCGAGTACAAGGTGATTATTTTGAAACTCTGCTCTATAAGATATTTGTTTCAATAGATGAGCACACTAATGTTGCAGAGGTAAGTGGCAGCGTCTTATGAAATACCAGAACCTCAAGACCATAAAGCAAGTTTGTGTAAAGTTGATAAAATTATTTAATGATGTGCTTAAAATGTTTTCAAGATCTGGGTGTAGGGAGATCATAGACCATTAATCTACTTAAATGTCACTGTTCTTAAGTTAATTCCTGTATATGTATGCATATGCAAAAATTTTTTTTTTGAGTTGGAGTCTCACTCAACTATTACCCAGGCTGGAGTGCAGTGACATGCTCACGGCCATCACAGCCTCGACCTGCTGGGTTCAGGCAATCCTTCTGTCTCGGCCTTCCACGTAGCTGGAACTACAGGTGCCCGCTACCGTGCCCGTCTTATTTTTTGATTTATCATAGAGATGAGGCCTGGCCAAGTTGCTCAGGCTGGTCTTAAACTTCTCTTGCCTCAGCCTTCCAAAGTGCTGGGATTACAGACTTGAGTCACCATGCCTGGCTTGTAAAATTTTTAAAGTTAATAATTTATAATTTGGTTAAATAACTTTTTATATGCCTCTTTATAGTAATGTATTATAGACTGTTCTGATCTCCCTAGGAATTTTCTTATTTTAAATAAGACAGAATTAAGGAGTAAGGATTCTTAAATGGTTATGGTTACCACCTAGGTTTGTACTAGAAGCATCTTAGAGATAGGGAAAGAGGAAAGTTCGGAATTAAAAATGTATTCACTCTTCCAGTTATTCATAATTTAAATGTTGCTGATTATGATTACTTTGGTCTGTTGCAACTGTGTAATGTGCTGATAATTCTAAGAATGTAAAAATAAATTTTAATCTTTTTCCAGCTTGCAAATGTCCTCGAGATAGACTTATCCCTGGTTAAGGTATGTTGTTTTTATACTTGTTTCACTTGTAATGTGAATACTGAGTGGACTTTGCAAGTAGACTTTTAGCTTCAGACGCCACTGAGAAATAGAGGTATTGGGCTCTTGCTGGCTGTCCAGGCAGTGCGTGGTAAAGGGAGCTTGTCAGATGGGAAAGGACAAGGTAAGGGGCCCTGAATTAGGATCCCCCACTTGACTGAAAGAGGGCATACCCCCTCCTGTGCATGGCAGGCAGCAGCCCAAGCAGTATCTTGTAATGGGGCCAGGTAAAGCCACAGCCTCTTCTACCCAGGGAGGCAGGATCTGCTGGAAACTTCCCTCCTATGCGTTTACAGAGGCCTTCATGGCAGAGCAGACACCCTGAAAATGTGCTTTCTAGCTACAGGGTGAGAATGTTTGAGAGTGACTGTGAGTTTATTAGAGTATTTTTCCTCTACAAATACCGTGATATCTAGCTTGCCTTCAGTGTTGATTTCCTTTGTCTTCCTTTCAGAATGCTGTTTCGATGTATTGTCGCTTGGGCTTTGCCCATAAGAAAGGACAAGTCATCAATCTGGATCAGCTTCATTCATCATGGAAGAATGTACCATCCGTGAACAGATTAAAGTAACTCATTTATTCCGTATGAACTGTCAGAGCTTCCTTTTGAAAAAACTTTTAATTTTGCCCACAGAATTTTATTTGATCTGTCAGTTGAGGTGCACCCTAAATATTAGTGATTTTTAATAGTATGTCCTGGATCTTTTAAAAAATCTAATGAAAACGAAGAACCCTATACTTAAGAAAAAGCACACAAAACATTTTAGATAGTATTAGAGAGTTTTCGGATTTCCTGAAGCCTACCCACGAGTCTTAGTCAGGAACTCTTGCTGTGTGTGGGCAGAGCATTTGGGGCTCCCTTTTGGTTTGGGCTTGAGTGTATGACTGGATGTAGCTGGATTGCTTGTTTTGTAGGTACTGACTTCGGCAGATATGCGTCGGTGAGACCGTCTGTGTGCTTTTAAAGAGTGCGTGTCTTCTCCATTACAGGAGCACTTTAGATCCGCAGAAGATGCTCTTATCCTGGGACGGTGGGGAGCGACGGAGTCCCGTTCAAGAAGCTTCATCGGCCACTGACACTGACACGAACAGCCAAGAAGACCCAGGTTAGCAGTGTCTCAGTTTAATCTAGAGGTTGTCTTTAGGTACGGCATATGTCCAAACATTTGCTTTTGCAGTCATTTTATAGTTTTGCTTTAGATTTTATTTATTCAATAATCAGACTTTAAAGTACTTTACCATATTTTGAGCACTGTGTGCTGAGTCTTTGGGGTTCATAATTAATAAGAATATGGCACTTTCTTTCTAAGAATTAAGTCTGAGGAGAGAAAAAGATGTGTAACTAAAACAAAACAAAAACCCTATGTTAATGTGGGCACCAATTATGATGCTCGTGGGTTGCAAAGAAGAAGAGCCTCTTCGTTGGCTTGAGAGGTTTGGGAAGCCTTCACAGAGAGGATGTTACTTGAGCTAAGAATGAAGAGGAGCCTGCCAGCTGGTCAGTGACGGAAGATCCATTTCAGCCCGAGAGAATAGCATGGACCGAGCCCAAGGGAGGCTGGGCAGCGAGGACAAGGAGGCCACCGTGGTGTTAGTGTTGGGGGTCCCGGCATGGACTTTCTCCTGTGCTTACCTGAGCCAGGTTGATGGTCTGAAGAGGTCAGGCTAGTTAGTCTCATTAATCTGATAGTTGTCAAATTTATGTTACAGATTTTCAGGAAATGCATTATAAAAGTAATAAACTTTTAAACATCTTTTTAAAAAACTGTTCTCTGCTTTGAAGTAGGCATGACTGGAACCTCTTGTGACTATAATACTATTTTAAATTATGTACTTTCTGGTTATCAAATAAAACTGAAATGAGATACATTTTCGTTCTAAATGGTAAACAAAGAATAACTTCATCTGATTGGTTTCACGTTATGGTTTTCTCCCTAGCTGACACAGCCAGCGTGAGCAGTCTGAGCCTGTCCACAGGATACACAAAGCGCATTGCGTTCCTGTTTGACTCAACTCTTACTGCCTTCTTAATGATGGGAAACCTTTCGCCAGTAAGTCAGATTCTTTTTTAAATATGAAGGTGTTTACAGTAGATTAGCTAAAGAGTAATTCATTGCAGTTTTTAAGTATTAGAGTTATTCCTGAAAATACAACCGACTTTGTTTTATATTCCTCAGAGGAGCGTAGTAACTTTAATAAGGATTACTTTTGTAATTGGATGAATTGGCCCTCACCTCACCTACCCTTAAGTTTAAATATATTGGAAAGCGTAACATTAATGTGAGAGACTATGTTTGGCATAAAAAAGGAGAGCTAGAACTTGACTGTTTTCTTTCTTTGTTGCAGAACTTGAAGAGTCATGCCGTCACCATGTTTGAAGTAGGCAAGCTCTCTGATGAGTCTCTGGACAGCTTTCTCGTAGAACTGGAAAAGGTAAATCTAGATTACATGTGGGGTGGTGAGGCGTTTGCAACCTTGTCTTGCTTGATGAAGCCACCATCGTGTGGCCCACTGATGATGGTGGGCTTCCTGCTTTATGCAACTGCAAGCATATTGAAGGAGTGAATGAATTCTGTGATATTGAAGGTGCTGTGTCTGCCTCATCTAACTAACTCTTAACATAATTTGATATTAGAAGTGGGGTGCAGAAATCTTAGTCTGTAATCTTGCAAGTTGAGTTGTTTCTAAAATTGCCTTTCAGTTTTCGGGTCAGACTCTCTGAGATCACCTCCTAAGCAGTTTTACATAGAGTTTTGTCCCGTGTACCTTACATCTGGAACTGTGTCCCTGAGTATCGTATTTATGTCCACTCTTGCTGTCCCTTTTAGCCTCTTGAAGACTTCAGCCATATTTGCTCTAACCACCTTTCTCCCCGTGAGTACAGCCCTAGTTTTCCTCAACTCTGAATCTTGATTGCCCTTTATTGGTGTTTTCATTCTTTGGATATTTCATTCTATCCTCTGCTCTTCTTTATATGCAAGTAGTTTGTGTGCCTGATCTGTCCCTTGACTAAGTTGGTGCCTTTTGTGCTTTAGTGATGAACTCTAGATATAAAATGTGCTATTTAGAGAACTTGTGATGATTCTGTCATTTCTTTAAAAAAAAAAAAGACCGTAGCATTTTTTTCACTGCTCCTTCTACATAGGATTTTTATTTTTACTAGTGTGGAAATAAATCTGAGATACTCTTGCTATTAATTAGTCTCTTTTGCTTTTATCCTTATACTTTCATTATTTCTTCAGTGCTTTTTAAAAAATCACTTTGTTAGCGCCATTTCTCATTGTGTATCATTAACTTTTGCCAATAAACTTTTTACTTTGTTTCAGCACATTTTAAGTTCAAGTTTCCTGATTTTTATCTTTCTCACCACAGCGAGTCTTTTATCAAAGTGCATGATCACTTCTACTCTTTTACTCCTTCATAAATCTACATGCTTTTTGCCACGTAGTCTTTCTTGGGAAAGCCTTTTAGTCTGAGGCTTGGTTTTTAAAATGACTTCTCAGCTATTTTTCAAGTAGTGTGATCTTGATTAAGCTTACTTGGTTGATCTTGTTAATTTAATGTGAATCTAATTTAGCTATTTCCTCCAATAGACCTATCATTCTATTTTCTGTGTTGTTTCTGGGATGTGTGTGTCTTTTACATGTTAAACAGATGACTGATTCAGAAATGCAGACATTAAACTATACTGCCAGTGAAGGCAGGGTTCTGTCAGTTTGTCCATGACTCTATCCTTATCCTTACTATGAGCGGTCATAGTAGGCCCTAAGTAACTCGTTGAGTGAATTTAAGCAGTGTGTGCAGCAATAGTCAACTGCTATGTTGAACCCATACTCCAGTGTCCCTTGTAACTGGTGACACAGAATTGTGAACAAGGTCATGAGAATTATAGGCATGGTGACCATGAATTGGAGTGCTTTTCTGAACCCATGAAGCAGAACATGGGTTTTAGAATTTTTCAAGCACTCTATTTTAATTGTGTATGGGACATGTAACATAATGGTACAATTTAGCAATATTCAGTTGCTAAAATTGTTAGTTTTACTTGGACTAACTTCTGTCATCTTTCTAGATGTAGTAAAATTGAAAACTTCTCTGAGATTAAGTGTAATATTTGTTTTACTGTTGCCTGGGCAAACTTTTAATTTATAGCTTTTGAATACTGTCTTAATTTCTCTAGTACATAATTATTAGAGTGAATGGTGTGAAAGTGGTATTTGTTGCAAAATCTACTTTCTTTTGGTTTAGGTTCAGAGCACTGGCGAAGGAGAAGCTCAGAGATACTTTGATCATGCGCTTACTTTGAGAAACACCATTCTGTTTCTGCGTCATAATAAAGACCTAGTTGCACAAACTGCACAGCCAGACCAACCCAATTATGGTATGATAAATATATTTAATTTTGAAGACATGATCGTGTGAAACGTCTTTCTAAGAAATGGAACAGATCATTCTCACTTGTGTAATCATCGCTTATGTGGTACATTTTGTGTAGATAGCATGTTGGATTTACAACTGGAGTCTTGAATTTTTTTGCTTGTCAACTATTTCTTGTTTTACTTTTTTCCTTCTCGTGTGCCACTAACGTGTAGTTTTTAAATCGGTTTAGTACTTGTAAGAAGTTGGAGTATTAACTGGGCTCGGTGGCTCAACCTGTAATCCCATGCCTTTGGGAGGCTGAGGTGAGTGGATGCCTGAGCCCGCGGGTTCAAGACCCGCCTGGGCAGTGAGACCTCATCTCTACAATAAATCAAAAAATCAGCCGGGCGTGGTAGCGCATGCCTGTAATTCTGGCTACTCGGAAGGCTGAGGCAGAAGGATCGCCGGAGCCCAGCAGGTCGAGGCTGCGGTGGCCGGAAGCGGCCACTGCACTCCAGTTTGGGCGACAGAGTGAGACTCCAACTCAAAAAAAACAAACAAACAAAAACAAAACAAAAAACCAAATGCGGCTGTAATATTTACCAGTGTATTTTACTTTAACAAATAAAAGAGGAAGAGACGCTCTCTTCTTAAAGAGCAAGAGAAAGAGGCAGTGGCAGCTTTCATGTACTGAATCCTAAGGTGGCTGTTGCCTGGTAGGCACCCTCCATTTTGTGAGAGTTGACTTTGGTTGAACTGAGGGTAGCAGAATTTCCACCCAGAGATTCAGATGTAGCAGGCCTTGAGGTACAGAACGGCACCAGGGATGTGTGTTGTTTAAAAAGGAGGTTCCGCCGCACAGCAGGCTTGTTCACCGTGGGAAAGGCACTTGGGCAAGTCCTTGCATCCTGGGACTTTGTGAGTCCTCAGTTCCACTATGACATCTTTTTTTGGTCATTCTTTCATTTACCTAAAAACTCTATTTTTCTGGCCCAGAATCATCAGTTTCTCAGTCATGTCCATCTTCATTTCATTTCTCTCACTAGCATCCAGCTTTCTTTTCAGCTCAGTTCAAAACAGCAAAGGAAGGAATCAACGATCTCTTCGCAAGACTTGTTGCCTAGTTGAGAACAAAGATGCTGGGAAGTTTGACTGAATGAGACAGGACTCATCTGGTTCCTGGTGATGCACTCCTGCAGCCTTAGTGTGCCTTAACAGAATTGCACATTTTTGCATGCTGGGGCTCTTTTGAAGTCACTCGCAAGTAGTTAAAACTGAGAATATTAAATCACCAAATGACAAGAGTCTGAAAACTTACTGAGAAGCATTTATTGATCGGTAGCCCCTTTTGCTACCAAATATTAGGTCATGTGATCAATCAATGGGTGGCCTAATCTTGAAGATGTCTTTGGATGTAAAGCTCCAGGAAGTCCTGGGACTTTTTAGAGACTTATGGAGATGATGGATTAGGCCATTTGAAATCTTTTATAGATGCCTTGAAATTCATTGTGCTTTCTTGTCTGTCACAGAATCTGAGGTTGTTGGAGAGTGCTAGTGACTAGCCATGGGCGACTCCTTTTATAGATAAAGACACTGGAGCTTTTCTTGGTTGAGTCTCCTGCCTGTTTCGTTGTCAGAGTCCATGTGACTAGTGAATGGAGAAGCTGAGAATGGAAGACTTGGCTTGATGCCGTTGGGTTTTTTTCCATTGCCCTTCTATTAGATTATCTTCTCTTGAACACTAAGCTTTTAATTGATTTACTCATACATAATTTGTTGCTTAAGAGTGGGCTGAACGCTTCTTAAAAACCATAAATAGTCTGTGTACCATGAAGTAAGTTATATGGTAAACCCGAGCCTACTCTATATGAAAATAGTTAAGTATAAATCTTTTTTTTTTTTTTTTTGAGTTGGAGTTTCACTCCGTCGCCCAGACTGGAGTGCA